TAGACTTACAAAGTTTACAAGAGACAAAGAAGGACATTATATATTAGTGTTCAAAACAGCAAGAAGATATAACACTTAAAAACATTCACACACCTAAGGACAGACCATCCGAATATATGGAGCAGAAACTGACAGAGTTGAAGGGAGAAATAGTTCTACAGTAATAGTTGGAGAATTCAATACCCCACACACAATAATGGGTGAAACAACCAGACATAAGATAAGTAAGGAAATAGAGGATGTAAACAGCACAATAGACCAGCTAGATCTAACAGACATACAAAACACTCCACCCAACAACAGCAGTGCACACATTCTTCTCAAGTGCATGCGGCACGTTTTCCAGAATAGACCATATGTTGGGCCACAAATTAAGTCTTAATGGATTTTAAAAGATTGATATCATATAAAGTATCTTCTCTGACCATAACAAGATGAAGTTAAAAATCATTAACAAAAGGAAAACTTGAAAATTCACAAAATTGTGAAAATTAAGCAACACACTTTTAAATAACCAGTGAATCAAAGATGAGATCACAAGGGAAGTTAGAAAATAGAGACAAATGAAAATGAAAACACAACATACCAAAACTTATGGAACACAGTGAAATCAGTGCTAAGAGGGAAATTTATAGCTATAAATGCTTATATGAAAAACAAGAAAGATCTCAAATCAGCAACCTAACTTTACAATGTAAGGAACTAGAAAAATAAGAACAAACTAAACTCAAAGTTCGTAGAAGGAAGGAAATAATAAAGACTGGAGCCGAGATAAACAAAATAGAGAATAGGAAAACAACAGAAAAAAGTCAGTGAAACTGAAAGTTGGTTCTTTGAAAAGATCGACAAAATTGACGAACTTTTAGCTAGAATGGACTAAGGAAAAAAGAAAGACTCAAATTACTAAAATTATAAGTGAGAGAGGGACATTATTACTGATTATACAGAAATAAAAAGGATTATAAGGGAGTACTATGAATGACTGTACACCAACCAATTGTATACCCTAGATGAAATGGACAGATTCCTAGACACACAAAACCTACCACGACTGAATCATGAGGAAATAGAAAATCTGAGTGAACCTGTAACTAGTAAGGAGAATCAGTAATAAAACATTTCCCAACAAAGAAAATCCCTGGACCTGATGACTTCACTGGTGAACTACACCAAAAATTTAAAGAACTGACACCAATCCTCAAACTTTTCCAAAAAATTGAAGAGAAGGGAATACTTCCTAACTATGAGGCCAGCATTACCCTGATACCAAAGCCAGACAAAAACACCACAAGAAAAGAAAACCACAGACCAGTATCCCCTATGAATATTGATGCAAAAATCCTCAACGAGATACTAGCAAACCAATTCAGAAGTATATTAAAAAGATAATACACCATAACCAAGTGGGATTTATTCCTAGAATGCAAGGATGGCCCAACAAATGACAATCAATTAATGTAATATGCCATGTCAACAAAATGAAAGGAGAAAACCACATACTCATCTCAACTGAGGCAGAACAAGCATTTGACAAAAATTTAACACAGTTTCACGATTTAAAAAAAAACCCTCAACAAAATAGGAATACAAGGAAACTACATTCATATAGTAAAGGCCATATAGGAAAATCCTGCAGCAAATATCATACTCAATGGTGAAAGATGGAAAGCTTTTCCTCCAAGATCAGGAACAAGGCAAGGATGCCTGCTTTCACCACTTCTGTTCGACATAGTCCTGGAAGTTCTAGCCAGAGCAATTAGGCAAGAAAAAGAAATAAAAGGCATTTAAATTGGAAAGGAAGAACTAAAGTTATCTCTGCTGGCAGATGACATAGATCACGTGTAGGAAACTCTGTTAGATCTAATAAATGAATTCAGCAAAGTAGCAGGATACAAGGTCAACACAAAAATCAGCTGCACTTCTATAAATGAACAATGAACAATCCGAAAAGGAAATCACAAAAACAATTGCATTTACAATAGCATCAAAAAGAGTGATATATTTACTTAGGAATTAACCAAAATACAAGGAATTAACCAAGGAGGTGAAAGACTTGTACGATGCAAACTACAAAACATTGCTGAAAGAAATTAAGACATAACTAAATGGAAATACATCCCATGTTCATAGATTGAAGATTTAATATTATTAAAATGTTAATACTACCCCAAGAAATTTACAGATTCAATGCTATTGCTATCAAGGTCACAATGATGTTTTTTGTGGAAATACAAAAACCCATCCTAAAATTTGTATGGAATCTGAAGGGACCCCCAAAAGCCAAAACAATATTGAAAAAGAAGAACAAAGCTGGAAATCTCACACTTCCTGATTTCAAAACTTACTACAGGGGCCAGCCCCAGGGCCAAATGGTTAAGTTTGCACACTCTGCTTCTGCAGCCCTGGATTTCGCTGGTTTGGATCTTGGGCACGGATGTGGCACTGCTCATTAGGCCATGCTGAGGCAGCATCACACAGAGCAGAGCCAGAAGGACCTACAACTAGAATATACAACTATGTACTGGGGGGCTTTGGGGAGAAGAAGAAAAAAAGAAGATTGGTCCTGAGCTAACATCTGTTGCCAATCTTCAAAAAAAAAAAAAAAAAAGGAATCATGGAGACAGAAAGAGTAGAGGTTGCCAGGGGCTGGGGGAGGAGAGAGGGGAAGTTAGTTTTTAATTCGGACAGAGTTTCAGTTTGGGGAGATGGAAAGAATTATGGAGATGGATGGTGGGGATGGTTGCACAACCACGTGAATGTGCTTAATGCCACTGAACTGTGCACTTAAAAATGGTTAGGACGGTAAATTTCATGTTATGTATATTTCACCATGCACAAAAACTTTTAGGCAGAAGGCAAAACTGTAGAGCTTTAAAAACATAATCTGGAAGACCATATCTCTGATCCCAAGGCAGGGAAATTTCTGTGAAATAAGACCAAGAACCATGAGGGAAATCACTGATAAATTTGGTTCATTGAAATTATGCACTTCTGCCTTTGATCTGTTGATTCCTGAGATGTGTGCTGCTTGTTTGGATGTGGCGTCTGTGTTTCTGATCTCCTTCCTACTGCTGTTGTTCATATCCTACCAAGGTCAACTAGTGCCGAGCACTGCTTCCTCTTGTTGGAGCTCAGATTCCTGTAGCTCTGTGAGGTCAATTTCTGAGTCCTAGTATGTCCAAAATGTCTGTTTTTCACTGTCACTCTTAAATGACAGTTGAGTTGGGTATAGAATTCAGTGTTTCAAGTTATTCTCCCTCGGCACTTTGAAAATATGGTGCCACAATCTCCTTGCATCCGGGGTCGCTGATGACAAGCCCAGTGGCAATCTGATTCTTCTTCCTTCGTAGGTAAGCTGTCTTGTCTTCCTGGCAGCTGTGAGGTTTTCTCTTTCTCTCGATATTCCAAAATCTCAGTCCTAGGTATCTAGGAATGGATGCGTTTCTTCTTTACCTTTCCTGGCAATCAGTGGGTATTTTCAGTCTGAGAGCTCATGTCTCGAGTCTGAAGGACCGTTGGTATTATGTAGTCAAATATTGCCCTGTGGCCATGGCCCCACTCAGCACTGGGCTTTCCAGAAATCTTCTTTCCAGGAAGTCTGTCAGGTTTACAGGTGATTCACTTCCTTGTGTTCAATTGCTGCTATTTTAAAATTTCTTTCTATCATTGTCATGGTTTTTGTGTCTGTATTGGAAGATATGCCCACTTTTCCATCTCATAACCAGAAATCCCTTTTTAAAAATATTTGAAGTTTAGGTAACATCATTTTGTGTTATTCATTGTGTTGATTTTTACAGTTACTTCCTCCAGGGCAATCATGGAGTCCTGTGGCTTATGCGTGGACTCTGGAGTCAGACTGCCTGGACTGGAGCCCAGCCTCACCCCTTCCTGAAGCAAGTCTTTTCATCTCTTTGTACCTCAGTTTCCCCATCTGTGAAGTGGGAGAAATAATGGCTCATACTCATAGGGTGGTTGTCAGGATTAAATGAGCAGGTACCCTGACACTCAGAAAGCATGTCATATATGTTAGCTCTGGTCCGTGCAAGTGACATTTGCGTTCCCAGTACCTTAGAGGCATGTTTAGATTTTGTAAGAGGTACACACACGGGTTTAAGAAAACAATTGTGTCATGAAAATGACTGAGGTTTAGGAAATGCCGTTGTTTTGTGTGTGGCTTAACAAAGACAGATGTGGGTGTAACTGGGCAACAGCCCCTCAGAAAATCAGACTGAGACACAGATGAGCTTACAGAAATTGACCCCAGTTGTGACCAAGTGGCCAGGCTCACTGGCAGCGTCCCTGCAACCTCATCAGCCCCCCAGATCATCTCCAGCTCAGTCCCGGGGTGGCCTGCTCTGACCTCAGTGAGGTGGGTAAGAAAGACCAGAGGGCTGGCAGCAGCCACTGAAGAGCCCAGGCCCTCCCTGCTGAGCCCCCAGGCCCCACCTTCCCCAGAAGCTGGGGACCCTGGCCCACGGGGGTGCAGAAGCTCTGTGGATGTAAATTACCAGTGGGACAAGCACCCTGGAGGGAGAACATTGTAGGAGGTGTGGACAGGACGGGGAGGGGGGACAGCAGCTGTGGGCAGCTCCCTTGGGGTCTGAGCAGCATCATGCACCCTGTCCCCCCTGTGTACCCCTGGCCTATGGGGCAGCCGCTTCCTGCACTGACACATCCTGGGTTGCCTTCATGTCCCTTGTTGTCTCGGTCTATCTTTCTACGTCTGTGAACCAGTTTCCTTATGAACTCAGTGTGTGAAATAATGGCAAGGGTGTTCCTGAGGCCTTGGTTGATCCCTGGCTGCTACCAATACCCCACAGCCCGAGACAGCCCAAGACTGACCCAGGGGCCTCCTTGCCCCCCACCTGCCTGTCCCTCTCAGCAAGTCAGCATAAGCCCTGGGGGTGCCGTACAGCCTAGGGGTCCTGGGCAGCCCGGCCTACAGACGGAGGGGAGAGCCCGGGGACACGGTTGGTGGGAAGAGACACCAGGACCAGGAATTGTGCACAGTGCTCAGCATTTATTTGCAAGATTGAAACTGGGTGGGTGGAGGGGGTGCTGTGTGGTGCCCACCCCTCCCCACCTGCCCCTCAGCTGTCACAGCTTCAGGTCCAGGTCATGGGCAGGCAGCCACCCTATGTGACACCACCTCTTGGAGGCAGCCAGCCTTGCCTGGACAGGCCTCAGTCCTCAGTCTGCTGCGGGACTCTGTGCCCCACGGGGCTTCGAGGAGAGATGGGGGCACCCAGGCCCGCACTGGGGAGCTGCGCAGTGGTGGATGTGTGGTTTTGCTCCAGGCTGCTCTCTGACACCAGGAAGGGGTGAGTCTGGGTGGAATGGGTATTTGTGTTTCCACTGAGGGGCAGGCCCTGATGGCCGGGCGGGTGACCAAGACGGGCCAGAGGGGCTCCAGGGGCAGGGCCCCGCCGGGTGCCGTCCTCAAGCAGACCCTCCCCGCCGGCCCCAGGTTTCCGTGCTTGGGCTGGGCATGTTCTGCCTCCAGACGCGGAGGGCGTGTGGGACGGGGGCAGAATGACGACCGGCAGTGGTGGCCTCCTAGAGCAGGAGGATGGGGGTGCTGTCCTCTGGAGCCTCGGGTGAGGGGGCGCAGCCCGGGGTGCAGCTGCACGCGTCCACGTGGATGTAGGTGTACTGGATGGTTGTCCCATCGGGACACTGCAGGGTCACCACCTCCTGGTGGGCCCTCTTCTCCTGGCAGCAGGTGCACTCGTGCTGCATGGCCTGGGCCTCCAGGGAGTACCTGCGGACACACGGTGCCCTCAGGACGCGCCCACCTGGCCCACTATGGGGGTTCTGGAGATGGCTGGTTCTCTGAGCACGCGGGGCTTCTCCTTCCGGGCCGCGGCGACGCTCAGGGTCCCTCTGAACCCCGCTCTTCCTCCATCCAGCAGCCCAAACTTGCTGACTCCCGCAGGCCCCCGCCCCTTCCTCGGCCTTGAGCCAGCCCGGCCCATCTTCCACCTTTCTGGCCGACTGCGTCCACGCGGACACTGCCCGCAGGCCACTCACACGGACACGCCCAGGCAGGAACCCTCGCAGAAGGGGACGTTGACGAGCGCCGGGCTGACGCAGTCCCCGAGCCGCAGCGCCTTTCTTTGAACGCGGACCCGGCAGGAATCTGGAAGGGGGACAGGCAGGAGAGGGGTCTGAGGGCCCTCCCGGGCGCCCCGCTCCCGACCTCCCGCCCGCGCTCAGGGGGGCTCTAGGGCGGGGTGGGAAGGCGCTTCCACTTACCCTCCTCGCAGGAGTAGCAGCAGCCGCGTTTCTGGAGGACGCCCTGCGGGGACAGCGGGGCTTGAGCGGGCCTCCAGGTGGGACGGGCGGGGCAGCGGGGCGGGTGTGGGCGGGGCCTCTGAGTGGCAGGGGTGTGGGTGGGGCCTCCGGGTGGGAGGGGCGGGGCTCCTGGGGAGGGCGGGCCTGCGGAAGGCAGCCAGGCTGGCCCGAGCCTGGGGACACGTACCCTGCAGCTGGACACGATGGGGCAGGACACGGGCCTAGGTGTCAGCACGAGGAGCCCATTCTCAGCCTGGCAGTGGTACTCAGTGCAGTTGTCCACGGGGCTGTTGACCCAGGTCTCGTTGGGCTGAAATGCAAAGGGGAGAGTGGAGACAGAGTGGGGATTACCTGGTGGGCCGACAAGGGCTGGTGGGCAGGGTCTCCCAGGTGGGCAGCTGAGATTGAGCCCCTTACCTGGACCAGCCCACCGCTGGGTGTGAGGCAGGCTGTCTGCACGCACTCCCCACAGCACTGCCCGGCCACCTCTGAGTACTCGAAGCCCTGGGGACAGAGTGGGGGTCACGTCCCGCACCCCTAGCCCAGCTCCCCAGCCTCAGTAACCCTGGCCCTCTGTGAGGCCATGTCCCTGCCCAGGGCTTCCTGGGCAGAAACTGCCCCAGCAGATTGTGCTGGCTGAGACTCACCTCTGCTTCCAGCACCTTCTGTCTACTCCTGCCTTCCTGGAACCCAATGCCAGGCCCCAGTGCCCTGCAGGTCCTGGCCCCCACTACACCTTCTCCTCTCCCATCCTGCTCCACACCCTCCCTTTGGGAATAAACAAGATCCCAGCAACGGCTGAGCTAGAGAGCCCTCCCGGAGCCCAGGTACTGGTGATACCTGGCTGCCACCAGGTGGGCACACTGGGAGGCCTGGGTGTGCCCAGGAGGGTGGGCTCACCTGGGGGCAGGTGGTGTTGCAGGTGTTCTCCTCACACTGCACAGTCAGGTTCCCCGTGTCCACGGATAGGCAGGCGCATTTGTGGCAGGGCGTGACCCCTGGGAAGGTTGCACCGACCTGCAGTGGATGGGTGAGGGGAGGTGACATTGAGGGGCTGGGTGGGGCACCAGGGCCAGGACCTCTCCCTGTGGCTGGGTGGACTGGGAACAGGTGAGGCCCCCAGAAAGAAATTTCTTTCTTCTTCAAATGGAATTATGGATGTGCCCCCCAGCTGAGCACAGATGGGACAGAGGCAGGACCCTGGGCAAAGGCAGGAGGGGGCACGGAGGGCGTGGTCCTACCCTAAAGCTTTTGCTGGGAGGCAGCTGCTGGGAGACCCTGAAGGTGTAGAGCCCATAGCTCTCCCAGGCTTGCGACAGAAGGTGCCACCCCTGTGTACCCCCACGTCCCCACCTGACTTTCAGGGGCCCAGAGCTCCTCAGCTCATCTGCTCTTGTGGCAGGAGGGTGCAGACAGGGCTGGACACGTCAAGACAAGCAGTGGAGGTCCAGAGGGACACGAGGCGTCCCACGATGAGCGTGCCAAGCCTGGGGCCCCACCCACCGCTGCCCACCCGGCCGGCCACCTGGCTACTGAGCCCTTACCCCATAGAAGGTGCCGTTGTAGGTGCACAGCTTAGGTTCTGGAAGGAAAGGGAGGGCTGAGTGCCTGCTAGGCTGCGGGGGAAGTGCTCAGACAGCCCACCCCAAGAATGCCCAGCCCCCAGCCCCACTCACTGCAAAGGAAGGTGGGGCAGCAGTCGCCCTCCCTCTGTGTGAGGGTCAGCTCCAATCCTGGCCCACACGTGAGTGGGCTCTGGGGGCAGGTGGTCACGTTGCAGACTGCGGGAGAGTCGGAGCACTGTCAGCGGTGCCCTGCCTTCCCGGGTCGCTTCTTCCCTCCTCTGGCCTGCAGTTCCCCCGGCCTCAGAGTTTCCCCACGTTGGAGCCAAAGATGCATTTTTCCCATGGGGGCTGACCTCTCCAGGTCCCCTCACTGTCACCTCCCCAGTCCTCCCCAAGTCCCTGGGCTGGCCTGGGGCAGACCAGAGGTCACCAGCCTTATGTTTAGGTGAAAAAATGAAGCACCAAGAGCCTCCCCACCTCGGCGGTCCAGCTGCGGTCCAGCCAGCACCCTGCGGCCCGCCTCTGCCCTACAGACCCTGCCGGCCAGGCAGCCCATGCCCACCACCCTCCTCGGTTCCCTCCCTGCCCCGCCTGGCCGCTGGGGCACAGGGCTTACTGCACAGCGTCTCCTGGCAGCACGGGTTGTCCGCCAGGGGCCTGGTGATGGTCAGGAAGCCAGCCCGGCCGCACTCCAGGGGCTGGTCCTGGGCCTTGCACTGCACAGGGACACACTGCACCGACACAGAGTCCTCGTCGCACACGCAGGCCTGGCAGTTGCTGACCCACCGCTCTCCGGGCTGAAACAGACCAGGTCATGGTCCCCAAGGGCTCCCAGATCGTGCCCCGCCCTCTCCAGCTGCGTCCAGCAACCAGTCAGACCCAGCCCTCAGCGTGGCCAGGTCAGCCCTTGGTCTCCCCGACAAGCCACCACCTCTGGAGCAGCCCGGGTAACAGGGACACAATCTCACACTGGGGCACCCCACACCAGCCCCCCACAGAGGCTGCCCGGGCAGAGCTGGCCTCCCGAGATGGGGCCGTCCCTCCCTCCTTCTGCTCTAGTGGGGAAGAGCAGGGAGCTGGAACACTCACAAATTTGGGAAACCCATCTGGTCCCACGCAGGCTGGAAGGGAAGGAAAAAGAGGTTACTGGGGGCTGGAGTTTGCAGCCTGGTGGGGCCACGGGTCTTCGCAGGCCTGGCTCCCACCCCCCACCCCCCCAGCTGAGGCCTTGTCTTCCTGCTGGGGACAGAAGCTCCCAGAGAACTGGAGGAATGTCACAGAGGAGGGGGCTTGGCAGGGCTCCAGGCCACACTGCACTGCTGGCAGAACGGGGCGGGAGCTGGCCGGAGAGCAAGCTTGGGTGGCAGGAGGGCAAGTGGTCTTCCGGCCCATGGCCCTCCCCCTCCCTCTGGGCTTACGGCACTGGGGCACACAGATGTCCGTGTAGGAGTTGAAGAGGATGTGGCCATCAGGACAGAAGCAGCCCTCTGCCAGCCCCTTGCGCACTGGGCTCTGGCTCCTGTAAGATGAGGAGGGCAGCCTGGGACCCCCGATCCTTGTGAGTGGGCAGTTGGAGGGAGGAGAGCAGTAGGCATGGTGGAGTGCTGGGGTTGGCCGGCTGCGCAGGGCCGCCCCCGGGGTCAAGGGTCGGAGATCTCAGGCTAGGAGTCCCGGACCCTTTGTGGCTCCCCTCCTGGCTCCCCCAGACCCTCCGGACAAGCCTGGAGGCCCAAGGGGCCCAGCGTCCCTGACGTCCAGCTTGCACTCACCTGGAGTTGCAGGCCTCGGGCTGCACGGGGCCACATGACTTGTACACCTTGGTGGGTGGGCAGGTGAGCTCTGGGGGCACAGAGACAGGTGTCAAGAGGGCCAGGGAGGCCAGAGCCCCCGGCAGCTGCCCCCAACTCACCGCACAGCCCGGCAGTGGCATTGCGCCAGTTGCTGCACACGCCCCGAGCGTGGCAGAGCGCCGCGTAGGCCTCCAGGCTCTGGCAGGACACGTTGGGGTGGCTGGTCTGGCAGCCGTCGCTGACACAGGTGCTGAAGAACGGGCCGGGCGGGATGAGACTGTGGCACTCGGCGAAGACCCTGTGGGCAGGCGTGGTCAGAGGCCGGAGCAGAGAGCCAGGTCCTGGGCCGGGGCAGGGGTGTGTTGCTCCAGGACCCTCAAACCCATGAGGAAGGACTCACTGGCTCAGCAGCAGCTTGCAGAGGGGTGCTGGGGCGCAAGGAGGGGAGGTAGGCGTGGTGGGGGTGTGAGGCAGGGGGCTGGTGGTTGGAGGTGGTGCCTGGCAGCCCTCCTTGCTGCTGTCGGGGACCAGCCAGGAGCTGGCCATGTCCTTGCAGGTGGGGGCCATGGTGCCATCTGGCCGGCGGCAGTCATCAGTTTGGCTGTTGGTGCAGGTGCCTGGGGAGTGTGAGGGCAGGGCAGGTCACCACGGGGCTAGGCCAGCGGCTGACTGATTCTCAAGACTCTCTCTCTCCCCACCTCCCTGAGGTCACTTGGTTAGGAAACGCCATTTACTGAGGCAGCTCTGGCGTGGGGCAGGTGGCAGGGGGAGCAGGTAGGGGTCCCGCCACATCCCGCTCACCACACAGGCCCTCGGTGTTGTGGCTGAAGTGGCTGTAGGAGAGCCGGGCCTGGAAGATGTGCCCGTCGAAGGAGATGCTCACGAGGATGGCAGAAATGTCGATGTGCATCATGGTGGTCCCTGTCACCGACACGTTCACACCATTCTTGCTGAAGACCTCACTCACCCGCCTTTGGTCAAACAGGATCTGGGGGCAAAGCCGGGGGACCCTTCACTGGTGGTGGTGGGGTCTGCCTTTGGGGCTCTGTCTCCAAAGCGCTGGGGCGCCGTCCTCTGCACCCCCACCCCAAAGCACCGATGCTCCCCTCAGGGCACTCTTGGTGGCAGGCACCCCCACAGGCCTTCCCTGCTCCCAGCAGTTGCTGTGCTGGGGTGCCCTGCACTGTGGCACACCCTTTGACCTCTCCAAGGCCCCAGGGGGAGCTGACCGCTGGCTGGGCAGAGGGAAACGGGCTCTGCACCAGGGCTCTGCCTGCAGGCCGGCCTGCCCTGGCGAGGTGGGGACAGGGCCCACGCGTGCTCTGCCACCTGCCCGTCCTCACCAGGCTCTGCTCCTGCCCGTCAGTGCCTGTGGTGGTGGTGAGGATGATCTCCATGGACTTGTAGTGGATGATAAGGGCGCGGGGGCAGTGGGTGGTGGCTGCAGTGGCCCCACAGTAGTAGTTGTTGATGTAGATGCTGAGGTTCCCATACAGCGGGCGGATCTCCCTCATGAGCACGTGGGTGCAGTTGTCCCCGAAGGAGTAGGAGGTGCCGTCGAAGGTCTTGTAGTGCGAGTGCCCCCAGCCGCTGCAGGAGCCTGCGGGACAGGGACAGTCCCCTCACCCGGTGCCACCCCAAAACCGCCACCCCAGGGTTGCTCAACCTTCGCACCCTCAGTCCCCTCCTTTGCAAAATGGGTGTAGTGGGTTGGATAGTGGTCCACCCGCCTGCAAGTGGGACCTCACTTGGGAAGGGGGTCCTCAGAGCTGGAATTAAGTTAAGGGTCTCGAGAGGAGGTCACTGGATTACTGGGTGGGCCTAAATCTAATGACGTGTCCTCATAAAGGAGAAGAGACAGGGAGAGAGAGTCGTGTGATGAGAGAGGCAGAGGTGACAGCAGACCCGGCTGGTCCCCCTCCATGGGTGGCCCGGCAGCGTTTCCTGCTGGCTCTGTGTGCCGCCAGGAGCGTGCACCTCCGGGCCCATCCACATGCCCCGCTGCTCACACTCGCACTCCAGGCGGTAGGTGCAGCGCTCGTTCTCGCTCCACAGTTTGACGGGCAGGTGCCCATTCACACAGGTGATGTTGGCCACAGGCTTCGGCTCCAGCAGGACAATGTGGTTCTCGCCCTCACACCTGGCCACCGTGCAGTTCGCCAGGGTCCAGGACTCGTTCACCTGGCAGAGAGCGGGTACCATGCTCACAACGAGCCCCCACCCCGCTACAGCCTCGGGTCCCCCATGGCCTCAAGTCTGGAGCGCCTGGCCTGGGGCAGGGCTGCCACCGCCTTCTGGTGGGCCCCTGGTGCTGCCCTGGCCCCAGACCCTATTCACCTCCCTCCAGTCAGAGCGACCCATGGAGGGGTCACCCAGGGGCCAGGGGCCGTGGCCCACTGGAGCTGTCAGCAGCCCAGGGCAGGGCTGTACTCCCAAAAGGCACACAACAGGGAGAGGAGGGTGGTGGGGGGAGCACACCTGTCGGGGAGGGTCGATGAGATCGCAGCCGGGAACTGGGGAGTTCAGGGTCACTGAGGTCTCTGGGGGTGAGGAGGTGGGGCAGCTGCCCTGGAAGCGGTCAATGTCACAGCGCTGGTTGCAGATGGCGTAGAACTGGCACCCGGCACTGTCTGTCTTATTGTAGATCACATCTCCTGTGGAGGGGCAAATCACCAAGACAGAGAGGTCAGGAGGGAGCGCTGTCACAGGGCAAGGGCCACAGGGCGGGGACACAGGGGGGACACAGGGCGGGGGGCAGAGGGAGGGGGTACTGGGCGGGGGGCACAGGGAAGGGGTACATGGCAAGGAGCACAGGGAAGGGGCACAGGGAGAGGGTACAGAGTGGGGGGCACAGGGCATGAGGTAGAGGGAGGGGGTACAGGGCAGGGAACACAGGCAGGAACACAGGGCCAGGGGACACACGGCCGGGGCACAAGCAGGGGGCATATGGCAGGGGGCACAGGCAGGGGCAGAGGGTGCAGGGGACAGGGTGGGTGCATGGGGATAATAGGGATACAGGGCGGGGCCCAGAGTGGGGGCTCAGTGACACACAGAACGGAGTGTCCTGAGTGGATGGGCCACAGGGAGGGCACAGGGTCTCTACTCACCAGGTGAGAAGAGCTGTCCAAACGCCCGGCAGAGGCAGGCTGTGGTGGAGATGAGCGGGCTGGGAAAGGCGGTGGGCCCAGGGGTAGTGAGGATGGAGGGGGATGCGGTGGACACGCTGAAGTGTGGCAGGCTGCTGGAGATTGCCGCGGTGGTCCACATGTGGGAGGTCACCAAGGGGGGAGAGGGAGGGGCGCTGGGCAAGCCTGGCGTGGCAGTTGTGGTCTGGGTCCTGGGGGAGGCAGAGGAACTGGAGATGGAGACTCTCCCAGTAGTCCAAGGGGAGGAAGGACCTGTCTGGCTGGTGTGGATGGAGAGCCTCTCGCTGGTCCTGGGAGAGGAGGGACCAGTTTCAGTGGGGGGGATGGAGACCCTCTCGCTGGTCCCTGGAGAGGAGAGGTACACCTGGGTCGTGGCTGTGCTCCAGACTCTTGACACTCCAGATGACTGTCTGCCCGTGCTGGCGCTGGTCGTGGAGGGTCTGGGGGACAGTGTGGTGGTTGCAGGGACGGCCGAGCTGGCGCAGTGGCTGTAGTCGTCACAGCAGCGCACGCGGATGTGGTAGTTGAGGCAAGTCTCGCCCCCACTCTGCCACTTATTTCTGCAGATGAGCCCGTAATCCACGTCACACTTCACCACCTGGCCCAGCTGCCTGAAGGGCACTTCTGGAAAGAGGACGGCCTGGCACTCGATGGCCACCGGCTCAGAGCAGAGCTGGCCTCCGGCGCGCAAGATGTGGTGGTAGGTCTCACTGTCACCCCCATAGGGGCCAGGCTTGGGCCAGTCACTGTCCAGCCATTCAGTCCAGTGGCAGGCAGGCTGGCACCCAGAGGTCGCTGTGGTGGGGTGTGTGTTGGGGCTCGTGGGGCTGGGGGTGGTCGGGGGTCGGGCCGTGGTGCCGGTGGCCGTTAGTGAGGTCAGTCCCGGACTGGTCGCTGGAGGAGTCGCTGTGGTGGTGGCCGGGGTGCCAGGGCAGTGGCTGTAGTCGCAGCAGAACACGCGGATGTGGTAGTTGAGGCACAGCTTGATGGGGCCGCTCTGGTCACGGTTGCGGCACACCAGCCCGACGCTCACGTCGCACTGGACCACCTGGCCCAGCTCCTGCACGGGGACGTCAGGCCACATCTCAGCCCGACACTCCAGGTGCAAGGGCTGCTCGCAGATGTCCTCGCCGGCCGCCCGGATGTTGGCGTAGGTCTCAAAGTCCCCCCCTGCATGGCCGGGTGTGGGGTAGTCCTCGTCAAACCAGCGTGTCCATGCGCACTGTGGCTTGCAGACCTCAGTGGAGGATGCGGTCGGGGTGTGCGTCATGGAGCTGGGCTGTGAGGGGCTGGAGAGCAGCGTGGTCGCAGAAGTGGGTCCACTGGGAGGGGACCAGGGAGTGGTTATTATGCGGGCGGTTGGGGGGGCGCTGGGTGGGGCTGGCCGTGTGGTGGTAGGCAGGGTCCCAGGGGAGGCAGAGGGACTAGAGATAGACACCCTCTGGGTGGTCCTTGGGGAGGAGGGTACTATCTCAGTGGTGGGGATAGAGAGCCTCTGCATGGTCGCAGGAGAGGAGGGATGTGTCTCAGTGGGGGGCACAGTGATCTCAGTGGTCACGGGAGACATGAGACTTGTCGGGCTGGTGGGGACAGTGACCTTCTCAGTGGTCCAGAGGGAGGTGAAAGGTGTCTGAGTGGTGAGGACACTAGGAGTAGGCGCAGAGGAGGAGGGACCTGTCTCGGTGGTGGAGATGGTCAGCTCAGTGGGCGTTGAGGAGGAGAGACCGGTCTTGGTGGTGGGGACAGTGACCTGCTTAGTGGTCCTGAGGGAGGTGAATGGTGCCTGAGTGGTGGGGACACTATGAGTTGTCGTGCGGGAGGAGGGACCTGTCTCACTGGTGGGGACAGTTACCTCGGTGGTCCTGAGGGAGGTGAAAGGTGTCTGAGTCGTGGGGACACTATGAGTTGTCGTGCGGGAGGAGGGACCTGTCTCACTGGTGGGGACAGTTACCTCGGTGGTCCTGAGGGAGGTGAAAGTTGTCTGAGTGGTGGAGACACTAGGAGTTCTCCTGGGAGAGGAGGGACCTGTCTCGGTGGTGGGGACAGTGACCTTCTCAGTGGTGCTGAGGGAGGTGAAAGGTGTCTGAGTGGTGGGGACACTATGAATTGTCGTGCGAGAGGAGGGACCAGTCTCAGTGCTGGTGACAGTTAACTCAGTGGTGCTGGGGGAGAAGGAACTTGACTGGCTGGTAGGGAAGGTGACCCTCTCAGTGCTCCCGAAGGAAGTGAGAGATGTCTGAGCGGTGAGGACACTAGGAGTAGGCCCAGAGGAGGAGGGACCTGTCTCGGTGGTGGAGATGGTCAGCTCAGTGGGCCTGGGAGAGGAGGGACCTGTCTCGGTGGTGGGGACAGTGAGTTTCTCAGAGGTCCTGAGGGAGGTGAGATGTGTCTGAGTGGTGGGGACAATAGGAGTAGCCCCGGAGGAGGAGAGACCTCTCTCAGTGGTGGGGACAGTGACCTTCTTGGTGCTGCTGAGGGAGGTGAAAGTTGTCTGAGTGGTGGAGACACTAGGAGTTCTCCTGGGAGAGGAGGGACCTGTCTCGGTGGTGGGGACAGTGACCTTCTCAGTGGTGCTGAGGGAGGTGAAAGGTGTCTGAGTGGTGGGGACACTATGAGTTGTCGTGCGGGAGGAGGGACCTGTCTCACTGGTGGGGACAGTTACCTCGGTGGTCCTGAGGGAGGTGAAAGGTGTCTGAGTCGTGGGGACACTATGAGTTGTCGTGTGGGAGGAGCGACCTGTCTCACTGGTGGGGACAGTTACCTCGGTGGTCCTGAGGGAGGTGAAAGGTGTCTGAGTGGTGGGGACACTATGAATTGTCGTGCGGGAGGAGGGAGCAGTCTCAGTGCTGGTGACAGTTAACTCAGTGGTGCTGGGAGAGAAGGGACTTGACTGGCTGGTGGGGAAAGTGACCCTCTCAGTGCTCCTGAAGGAAGGGAGAGATGTCTGAGTGGTGAGGACACTAGGAGTAGGCCCAGGGGAGGAGGGACCTGTCTCGGTGGTGGAGATGGTCACCTCAGTGGGCCTTGAGGAGGAGAGACCGGTCTTGGTGGTGGGGACAGTGAGTTTCTCAGAGGTCCTGAGGGAGGTGAGATGTGTCTGAGTGGTGGGGACACTATGAGTTGCCCTGGAGGAGGAGGGACCTGTCTCAGTGGTGGGGACAGTGACCTTCTTGGTGCTGCTGAGGGAGGTGAAAGTTGTCTGAGTGGTGGAGACACTAGGAGTTCTCCTGGGAGAGGAGGGACCTGTCTCGGTGGTGGGGACAGTGACCTTCTCAGTGGTGCTGAGGGAGGCGAAAGGTGTCTGAGTGGTGGGGACACTATGAGTTGTCATGGGAGAGGAGGGACCTGTCTCAGTGATGGGGACAGTTATCTCGGTGGTCCCTGGAGAGGAGAGGTACACCTGGGTCGTGGCTGTGCTCCAGACTCTTGACACTCCAGATGACTGCCTGCCCCGTGCTTGGCGCTGGTCGTGGAGCGTCTGGGGGACAGTGTGGTGGTTGCAGGGACGGCCGAGCTGGCGCAGTGGCTGTAGTCGTCACAGCAGCGCACGCGGATGTGGTAGTTGAGGCAAGTCTCGCCCCCACTCTGCCACTTATTTCTGCAGATGAGCCCGTAATCCACGTCACACTTCACCACCTGGCCCAGCTGCCTGAAGGGCACTTCTGGAAAGAGGACGGCCTGGCACTCGATGGCCACCGGCTCAGAGCAGAGCTGGCCTCCGGCGCGCAAGATGTGGTGGTAGGTCTCACTGTCACCCCCATAGGGGCCAGGCTTGGGCCAGTCACTGTCCAGCCATTCAGTCCAGTGGCAGGCAGGCTGGCACCCAGAGGTCGCTGTGGTGGGGTGTGTGTTGGGGCTCGTGGGGCTGGGGGTGGTCGGGGGTCGGGCCGTGGTGCCGGTGGCCGTTAGTGAGGTCAGTCCCGGACTGGTCGCTGGAGGAGTCGCTGTGGTGGTGGCCGGGGTGCCAGGGCAGTGGCTGTAGTCGCAGCAGAACACGCGGATGTGGTAGTTGAGGCACAGCTTGATGGGGCCGCTCTGGTCACGGTTGCGGCACACCAGCCCGACGCTCACGTCGCACTGGACCACCTGGCCCAGCTCCTGCACGGGGACGTCAGGCCACATCTCAGCCCGACACTCCAGGTGCAAGGGCTGCTCGCAGATGTCCTCGCCGGCCGCCCGGATGTTGGCGTAGGTCTCAAAGTCCCCCCCTGCATGGCCGGGTGTGGGGTAGTCCTCGTCAAACCAGCGTGTCCATGCGCACTTGCAGGCCTCGGTGGAGGACACAGTCGGGGTGGACGTCACGGAGCCGGGCTGTGAGGGGCTGGAGAGGAGCGTGGTCGCAGAAGTGGGCCTGATGGGAGGGGACCCGGTGGTGGTCCCTATGTGGGAGGTCTGCAGGTGGGCTGTGGAGGAAGCCTGCCTGGCGGTTGTGCGCTGGGTCGTTGGAGAGGGCAGTCGCGTCTGGGTGGTGGCCGACGTTGAGCGTCCTGGCCCCTCAGATGTCGGGAACCCCGTAGCGGTGCTGCTGGGGCTGGGGGCGGCGGTGCTGGGGCAGTGGCTGCGGTCGTCACAGCAGAGCACGCGGATGTTGTAGTTGAAGCACATGTTGAAGCGTCCCTGCTGGTCCTCGTTCCTGCACACCAGCCCGGCCTCCAGGCTGCAGCTGAGCACCTGCCCGATCTGGTCCAGGCTCACCTCGGGGTAGTTCTCGGCCCGGCACTCTATCTTCTGCGGCTCCGCACACATCCTACCCCCTGCAGCCCTGATGTTTTCATAGGTCTCCATGTCTCCGCCCGTGACCCCCGAGGTGGGGAAGTCCACGTCAAACCACTCTGTCCACTCGCACTTGGGCTGACAGCTGGTTGTGCCCTGGCTGGTGGTGGTCTCAGTCACGGCTGTTGGCACCAGGGTTACTTTCGGCGTCTCTGTTCTCAATGTGCTTGTCCTGGTGTGTGAGGTGGATGGCGGGCTGGTTGAAACGGTGCGGGTTGTGCTGGTTGGTGCTTCTGTAGGCAGGCGAGGCCTGGAGGTAGATCCCTGTGAGGTGCCCTCTGTGGTCCCCTGCAGGGTTGTGCGAGTTGGAAGGACTGACGTGGCTCCCCCTGGGGTGGTGGGCTTTGTGGAGCCTGGAGGAGACCTGGGGCTGCTGGTGGCAGACGTCAAGAGTGTGTCTGTGTGGCTGGGGTTGGAGGATGTTGCTCGGGATGTTGATCCTGTCGAGAGGAAAGGCACTGCTGTAGTCACCTCTGGGCTACTCCCTAGCCATGTCCCTGGCTCTGTGGCTGGTGGCACAGTGGTGGCAGTGCCAGTGGAGGCCATGGCAGTGGTGCTTGTGCTGGCAGGAGTGATGGTGGTAGTAGAGGCGGTGGTGGCAATCCTGGTGGTGGAGGCAGTGGCACTGGTGGCAATGGAGGTGGCAGTGGCAGTGGTGGCCGTGGCCGTGGTGGTGATGGCAGTGGTGGCAGTGGTGGCGATATTGGTGGTGGCAGTGGAGATGGCAGTGGTGGCAGTGGTGGTGGTGGAGGTGGCAGTGGCAGTGGTGGTGGGAACAGTGGCCTTGGTGCTGGTGTTGGTGGCAGTGGTGGTGCTGGTGGCAATGGTGGCAGTGGTGGTGGTGGCAGTGGCGGCAGTGGTGGCGGTGGTGGTGGCAGAGGCAGGTCCCCTGCAGTGGCTGTTGCTGCAGCACAGCACTCGGATCCTGTAGTTGTAGCACATCTTGAACAGGCCCGGCTGCTCTTGGTTCCTGCAGACCAGGCCGAAGCTGGGGTGGCAGTGCACTCGCTGGCCCAGCTCCTCTGGTCTCACTGTGGGGAAGTTCTCGGCCTCACACTCTATGTCCTGCGGCTGCTCACACACGGCCCCTCCCGCACTCCTGATCTTGTCGTACGACTCGATGTCCCCCCCAGCCTTCTCAGATGTGGGGTAATCCTCATCGAACCACTCTGTCCACTGACATTTGGGCTGACAGGTGGTGGCAGCCAGGGTCGAGGAGCTGCTGCCTGTCTGGGCAGTGGTGGCAGGCACGGTAGGGCGGGTCTGCGAGGTGGAGGCCACTGTCGACTGGAGGGGGGTTTCTCTCGTTGGCGTGGTCCAGGTGGAGGTGGGCAGGGACTTGAGGGTTGACACCTGGGCAGTGACGCTGGGGGAGGGCCCAGAGCTGGTGCCCGGGGCCGGGGAGGTACCACAAGGCACATAGTCACAGCAGAGGACCCGCAACTCGTAGTTGTGGCAGAGCGGGGGACTCTGCTCGCTGTTGAGGCACGTGAGCCCCCGAGCCAGGTCACACTCCACCTTCTGGCCCAGCTCCTGCAGGGGCGTGTTGGGGAGCCGCTGCGCCCGGCACTCAATCTCCACGGGGGCCGGGCAGACCTGGTGGCCCCTCTGCTTCAGGTTTGCAAACGTCTCGAAGTCTCCCCCTCCCATGTCCGGCTCTGGACGGCCGCTGTCATACCAGTCGGACCAGCGGCACTGCTTTTGCACACACACAGTGGAGAGAGTGGGGGCTGAGCCTGTGGGGGGACAGTACAGGGGACCCCATCAGCTTCCTCTGCACCCTTGCCAGCCATGCCCAGGAGGAAGTGTGACATGTTGCCTCCCCCAGGGCTGGCCCCTCGGCCTCTGGGGGACCCTGGGCATCCCTTGTGCCCAGGATGCTTGCACTGAGCATCTGCAGGGTCTTCTCTTGTCAACCTGACCGTCACCCAGGGCCAGGGGCTGGGGAGAGTGAGGCAGGACCAGCGGTGCATCCGCCAGGCTCACCTGTCGTGGAGGGAGGGGCCGCGGTGGTGGTGAAGGTGAAGGGTGTCGTGGACAGAGTTCCGGGACATTCCACGACGCTCCGGATGATGGTTCCATTGTTTCCACAGATGGCGAGCAGGCAGGCACCCAGCCCATCGGTCGTGTTGTAGATGACCTCCTCATAGCCATAGGTCTTGCCCTCATAGATGCACCTGCAGGCTTGGAGAGGGGCAGGGACAGGGCTCACTTGGAGCCCCCAGCCCCCAGCCCTCAACCCCCAGCCCAACCTAGCCTCTCCTTACCCTCGAGGCTATGTATGCACTGGATGCCATTAGGGGTGCATTCACTGGGAGGAGGAGAGACAAGCTGAGGGTCAGCAGGGCCCAGGCCAGGGTCCCCACCCAGCCCCGATCCCGCAGACCCACCCTCCACTCTCTGCCCCCGCCCGCCCCTCTCCTCGGGACCTGCCCCCCACCCTCTACCCCTGCCCCATCCCCCGGGTCCGCCCCCATGCCCCCTACCCCAGCCGGCTGAACTCACCAGCTCTGGCAGTTCTCAGCCGCGGGGACCCTGGCGCCGACCTCGTGGTAGTTGCCGTCCTCGTCATAGCAGCCGCACTGGGCCACGCACTCCATTTCGTCCTCACTGAAGAAGGGTCTGCCGGGCGGGCACCGCGGGTAGCAGCCTGGGGCGGGCGCGGGCCGGAGCCGACTCACCCTCTCGGTCGTGCTGCCCGCGTGGCCGCCCCGTCTCTGCCCCCCCGTCCGCCGCCCCCGCCGCCCGAGCACCGTCCTGGGATGACAGGGTGGCTCCCCCGGGACGGCTTGGCCTCACCTTCCAGGCCGGGCAGGTCCACCAGGCAGTGCCCGCTGGGGTTCCTGCAGGTCCTCAGGCAGGGCGCCCCGCATGGCTCGTAGTGCCACTCGCACTCCCCGTGTGGGTTGTAGTAGTCGCAGAAGAGGGCTGGGCGCGGAGAAGAGGGGCTAAGGGCGCCTGCGGGCCTCGTCCCCCGGGCATGGGCAGCGTGGCGGGGCCTGGGGTTTGGGGCCGGCCCTCGCGTGCGGTTTCATTTCTCAGCCCTGCGCTCAGAACTCCTGTCCCTCGCTGAGCCATCCCATTTGGGGCGACCTGTCCGCCTGGCGTTTACGCACACGGACGTGCGCGCGCAGCTGTAGTGCGCGCGCGTGCACACGTGGGCGGTCTGGCCCCAGGGCCCGTGCGGCTCCGCCTCCCGGCCGCCCGCGCCCCCCCGTTCAGCACCACGGACAGAGCCCGACTCACGGCAGACGTCCGGGGACCGCCAGGACACGCACACGCCCACGTCGCGACAGGCCTGGGCGTAGGCGGCCACGGCCGTGCAGAAGCACTCGCAGTCGCCCCCCGAGTTGCAGGCGCACGCGTCGCTCACGCAGGCCTCGTAGTACTTGGTGGAGTCGACCTGAGGTCAGGGGGCGAGGGGCCGTTCAGCCAGGAGGGCCAGCAGGCCCCTGGGCCCCTGGACAGCCGTCTGCGCCTTAAACCCCACACCTGCGATCTGAGATGAGTGACTGCTGCCGGAGTCCGCCGCCCACCTGGACACTTCACTCCTGCCCCTGGTGTCCTCTGACCTCACCCCTGCCCGTCTCCCCCTGCCTCTGGTGGGTATCTCACTTAACTGTGGACCAGTCCCCCCGTGACTGCGTGGTGACCCTGTACTGACAAATGGGAGCTGCCCATCTCTTTGGGGAGGGGGGCAGTCCCCCAACCACACTCCTCCCTCCAGGGCAGCAGAGCCCAGAGTCGACCCAAGCCTCGCACTTGCCACCACGGACGGCACCATCTGAGCAGGGATGGCACGTCAGGCCCACATAGGACTTTCCGAGCCTTGTGCAGGGCACCCAGAGGGGCTGCGGGTGAGGGGGGTCGGGGCCTGGCACAGGTGCACCTGCATTAGCTGCAGGTCCTGGATCGCAAGACCGTGTTTGTGAGTGGGCCTTGGAGCCCTTGTTAAAATAACAAGAAGGACTTTTGGGAAGAGTGTCTGAGCCTGATCACGGATCCTCTGTGCATGTGAGGCTGGGCTGGAGGCCCCGCTAAGGTTCCCGTCTGTGCCGGGGGCCAGCAGGTCAGAGGCGGGCAGTGGATCGGGGAGGTGACTCTGATGGCCTGTGGGGCTCGCAGCCCCGTTTCTGGGGGATGAGGCTGAGTGCGGTCAAGGAAAGCAGTGGGGACGCTCTGTGCCCGGACTAGGGACCTGGGCTTCTGCCTGGTGAGAGGTTCAGATGGTGTGCCTTGGATGATGGTCAGGGTCACTACCCACTGTCCTCAGAGGCCCAGCCCAGGCCAGACCCAGCTCACACCAGGAGGGAAGGAGGCAGCCCAGGCCCTGCCCACCAAGCTCAGAGCCCCGCCCCTCGGCCCACCTGAGAACGGCAGGTGGCGAAGGTGGCGCTGTTGATGATGCTGCACTGCTTCTGGGCCCAGGACTTTCGGTACGGGTTGGCGGTGCAGGGGTCCTTGGGGGCTGGGGCATCCGGGCAGGACGGGGAGAACTTCCAGCTATTGCCGAACTCCAGCGCGTTGCCCACCACGGACTGGCTCCGCGTGGTGAAGTCATTGATGGCGTTGTCGTCGAAGTTCCCACACAGCCCGCAGACCCTCCCCTGCAGATGGAGAGACAGATGGGGCACGGGGCATGGGGGGGCTGCAGCTGCAGGGGGCAGCCCGAGGGGGCAGCACAGAACCTGGCCCAGGACGGGTAGCTGTAGGGCACCCGGTTCCCCCCGGCAGCGCCCGTGAACTTGCAGGAGGATGGGGCACACAGAGGGTCCTGCAGTGGGCAGGTGGGCAGGCGAGCAGGTGGGTGAGCACCTGCTCCCCGGGAGAACCTCAGCCCAGCAGGTGTGGTATGCCGAGTGGGGAGAACAGAGCAAAGAGGGCTTTCCAGCCAGGACTCTGATGAACTGTTGGTTGATTGGGACCCAATATGCCCCTTTGCAGAACCCGACATTGTGTGTATCCTCACCCCAGCCTTAGCAGACCGTCAGCTGCCAGACAGTCCCTGTGGGGCCAGGTCTAGGAGTGGGGGCTCTGTCCAGGCCCGAGAGGGTCCCACAGCCCACCCACCCTTACCTTGTAATCCTGGCGCAGCCGGATGAACACGCTGGTCTTCCTGTCCCAGGACACGACCATGCCACTGCGGGTCTCGATGGTTAGGTAGATGCCCATGTACCGGATCCTGTAGGGCAGGTCTCTGCCTGGCCCCCTTTGCACCACCTTGTAGGTGCCCTCGTGGAGGATCAGCTCATAGTTCTGCATGGACACAGGGGAGGTGGCTGTGGTAGGGGCCAGCTTTGGGGCCAGAGCCCACTCCGTTGCCCGGGGTAGGGGCTCCTTAGTGCTCAGGGGCCCCAGTCACGGGCCTGGTGTTAAGGCTGAGCAGGGCTCCTAACACAGTCCCCGAATGCAAGGTGAGAGGCTGGGCAGGATATGCTGGGAGTTGGGAGCCTGCATGGAAATTTGGGGGCCACAGGCGAGCAGAGGGAAGCAGAGGGCACAGACGAGGCTATGGGAGCCCATACAGCCACCTCGGGCTCGCTCCAACCAAGGCCCTGCTCCTCTGCCCAGCACTTCACCCCGTGCCGCCCCCCACTCAGGCCACCCCTCATTCTCGCCTCCACTGTTGCCCGAGTGCTGCTGCCTTCCTCCTGCTCCTCCCCACCCTTCAGGGGAAATGCCCCCCACCCAGCCACTCTGCTCTCTGCCCTGGGAACGCTGATCTGCCTCTGCCAGAAGTGGGCATCTCCGGGTGTGGTGGGCTGAATAGAGGCCCCTCAAAAGATGTGTCCACCTCCTAACCCCTGGGCCCTGTGCCCTTATTTGGAAAAAGGGTCTTCACAGATGTAATTAAGTGAAGGATCTCAAGATGAGGTCATCCTGGATTTAGGGTGGGCCTAAATCCAATGACAGGTGTCCCCATAATGGAAGAGGAGAAAGGACACATGGAGAGAAGCCCGTGTGAAGACGGAGGCAAAGATTGGGGGGATGTGGCCCCAGGCCCAGGAATGAACATCTGCAGCCCCAGAAGCTGTGAGAGGCAGAAGGACCCTCCCCGGGAGCCTGTGAGGGAGCGCAGCCCTGAGACACCTGGATGTCAGAGTCCTGGCCTTGGAACCGTGAGAGAATCAATTTCTCTGATTTTAAGTCCCTGGGCTGTGGCCAGCTGTTAGGCGGCCCCAGGATATAACTCAGCTGGAGGGCCGGCCTGGGATGGGGTCGGCTGCAGAGGGAGAAGTTTCCCCATGGCGCCCCTCACCTCCAGGAAGAGCTTGATGGTCTTGGAGCAGGTGACGCCTGTGGTCCCACAGGGGACGTTCTCGGTGACGATGCGGAAAGTCCCGTTGGCTGTGCCATTGCCCCCACAGTGGTCCTGAGACAGGGAGAGTTGAGATGTGGGTCACAGCCGGCCAAACCTGGCCCTCAGGAGGGGAGAGAGGGCCGCCTACCTGGACCAGGGTGTACTCGCAGCTCCCTTCAAAGCTGTAGCGCTCGCCGTCGAAGGTGATGAAGTGGCCGTCCCCATAGGCCACGCAGGTGCCCAGGCAGGGCTGGTGGCTGCACTCCCACCTGCGGTTCCGGCACGTGCTGCGAGGTGAGGGGAGGACACGATGCTTATGGTGCAGGAGCCCACCCCACTCCGGGTCCCTGAGGCCAAGCCGGTCCCAGCTGTGACATGGACGGGGACTCAGCCCCTCCTCATAATAGGGGGATACGGGAGTACCCCTCCCACACTCATGAGGGGTCAAGTGAAGCAGTGAGCATGGGCTCATGGGGCCACCACCCGCCCGTGATGCTTCTGTCTTGAGGCTTCCCCAGCCCTTGGTGCCTGGGATGGAGGGCTCGTGGTCCTGGTGGCAGCTTTGACTGGCCGCCGCCACCCACTGGGCAGAGGAGGCCAGGCCCCTGGAGTACCTCCCAGAGGAGAAATGGGAGCACCTGGGGCTTTCCAAGGGGTAGAGGCAGCGCCAGGCCTCTGCTCCTCTCCTGCCCCCTGCAGAGGACCCCCTGGCCAAGGCCAGCTCAGGCCTGCTGTCCCTGTGGTCTCTGCCCACGCCCTCCCCTCTGCAGCCCCTCGACCCACCAGGTGTTACAGTCCACCCTGATGGTCTCCCCGGGCTTGTAGGTGGCCTCGTTGTGCAGACAGGGGCAGTCCTCCTCGGCCACGCATCCCCCGCTCCCGTCCGACACCAGTCCCGGGGGGCAGACGCAGCCGGACACGCAGTGGGTGCTGAACTGTGGGCAGGTGGGCACCGGTCAGCAGCTCGTCCCCTGCTGGGGCCCAGGGACACTGAGGGGAGGGGGCACTGCCCAACTTGGGGGTGCCCAGGCTTAGGGGAGGGTATGCCCTCAGGGCAGCGCCATGGCTGTGCCCTCCCCGGCTGACTCACGCAGTCCACGTCGAGCACATGGCAGCTCCTGAGGCACTCGGCCCCCGGCGTGCCCGCCGAGGCATTTGTGCAGTCCAGGTACAGCATGGGGGCCACGCACCCTGCAGAGGGACAGCACCTGGGAGGGGCCCTGGGGGTACAGCCGGGACCCCCACCCTGAGGCCAGCAGAAGCCCTTCCCCCGCCACCACGAGTGGGGCCCCGGGGTCCCAGGCAGAGCTCTGTGGGAGGGGCGGTACCTGTGCTCCTCTGCTCCTCTGCTCCCAGGCAGCTCAGCTTCCCACTCACACACGAGCTACGAGAGACGGACGACCCGGCCTGGGTCACTGCCCACTGCCCACTTCCCACGGACCCCACCCAGCTCTCGGCCAGCTTGGGCCCCCAGGACTCGTCTGAGGAGAGGACGGCGCCTGCTGCGGTGAGGCCACCAATCCCATGGAGGCGCTCGAGTAAATGTACAGCACGCCAGCATGGCAGGGCAGCTTGGACACGAGGACGAGGATGCAGCCTCGGCTGGTGAAGGAGCCACCAGGGAGGCGGCGGGGGGCACCCCAGGCTGGCCCCAGAGTGCAAGCCACCTGCCATGCACACGCTGTGCCTTCCGTGGGCCCCGGGACCTCAGGACACCCTCCCAGGCCAGGGGATGGAGTCCCTCTTTACAGAAGGGCAAAGGGCTGGCCCCACCTCCCCTTACCACACCACACCGTCGTCATGCACGACCTCTCCTGGAGCCACCACGGAGCCACGGAAGTAGCAGGGACAGGCCTCAGCGGGCACACAGGTGCTGGTGTCATCCAGGAAGGTGCCTGAGGGGCAGGTGCAGCCATCCACGGGCACGAAAGCGATGCCGCAAGTGACGTCAGCCTGGCTCAGGCTGCGGCAGGTGGGCTGGCAGCTGTCTACCACATAGGTGTAGTTCTGGGACTTTGGGCAGCTGCTCATATACTTGGCTGCAAGGAGGGGGCGACACTGGGGTCAGTGGCTGAGTGGCCCTGTCTGGCCTCGCTTTACCACATCCCAGCTGGGTTTGAAGCGGCCCAAGGCTCAGTTTCCCCCTCTGGACCCCGGGGATTGTAAGAGCACAAGGTTCTTGGCTGGACCGGAAGAGGAAGCACCAAGCTCTCCCTGAGAATGTGTCAGGGTTGCTGCCCCACTGGGGTTGCCAGCATCCCTCGCCCCTGCCTGGTGGAGCCGGGACGGCATGGGGGCACTCACTGCAGACGCCGTCCCTCCAGCCGTGGAGCAGCACGCCCTTGGCGGCACAGGCCCACACATAGGAGGACAGAGCTGCACACATGCAGGCCTCGCTCTTCTCACAGTTGCACGTGTCGAACAGGCAGTTCTGGGGACGGGGACATGAGGGGGCCATCAGGGACCCCAGCCCACCAGGGTCCCGTCTCTCCCCATCCATCCTTCCCAGGACCCCCACCTGGGCTGAGAGCACCACCCCCGAGGAAAGCCCGCAGCACAGATGGACGGTGGTGGGTCCCCCTGGAGGGGCAGCCCCCCCGGCTCCAGCACCCGGCCCACCCGACTCTCACTGAGTGGAAGGGAGCAGGGTTGACGATGGAGTGGCAAGGCGAGAAGGCACCAGTAGGGTCAGTCAGCAGCGAGCACCAGTGCTGGGCAAAGTTCTCTGGGAGAGGGGAGGCAGGCGGGCTGACCATCACTGGCACAGCTCAGCAGCTGCTGGCACACCTCGCTCCCCCTGCACCTGCCCACCCTCAACAGCCTCTGCTCCGTACACATAGGCCTGTGGGGGCCCCTTGGCCCCGGGAAACTGAATTGGAATTTGAGGTTCACCCACTGTGCTGCGTGGGCGCTGCTTACGGGGCAGGAGGGCGCTCTTCTGGGAGATGGGCCTCACCCACGGCCCTCCTCACTGCATACACGCTTGGATATGGGGGTCCCCCCAGACCCACCCATCTCGGAGCCCTGCTCAGACTGGGAGCCCCCAGACTCAGACCCGGGGTAACCCGAGGGCACCCAGGGGTGGGGGTACCATTCTCCACGCTGAGGGAGCAGGGGTCCTCGAAGCTGTTCTTGACGTTGGGGCAGGCGGCCTGGGTCTTCCAGGTGTTGGCGAAGGCGGCGGCCGTGCCCTCCACCACGCCTCCAAGGATCCGGAAATCGTCGGCCTGGTTCTGGTTGAAGTTCCCACACAGGCCTGGGGGCCGGGGCCCCAGGTTGGGAGTGTGAGCTGGCTGTCCAGCTCGGCCGTGCTCCTCTCTACCCTGCAGTTCCCCCAGGCACCACTACAAGTCTGACTGACAGGAGCCCCAGCCTGGAGTTTTGGTTTCAGAACCATCTGCAGATAAGCCCTGGTGGGCATCAGCCCCTGGGCACACCCACCTGAGTGAGGGCTGCGTGGCTCCCTCTGTGTCCTCCTGGGCCACCTCCCTCCGGCCACGGGCCAGATATCGGGTGCCCTGGGCTGGTGCAGGGGTGTCTGGGAGCAGCTGCTTCCCCCATCCCCATCTCCTGCCAGACTGTGCCCATCCCCCTGCTCGCAGCCTGGAGTGGAATCTGGCTCCACCCTACTGCCCCCGGCCCTGTAAGCCCTGCCGGCTGAGACTCACCGCACATCTGGCCTCGGTAGGAGGGGTCCAGCCTGAGGTACACCTGCATGAGGGGCACCAGCTGCACCTGCAGCTGCAGCCCGAGGCCCGTCTGCACCAGGATGAAGAAGGATGAGGGCCTGAAGATGGTGATGTTGGCTGCAGGGCAGAGGGGTGGTCAGAGGCTGCATGGAGGCCAGGCCTGGCCAGACTGACCACCGACGTCTGAGCCCCTGTGCGCCCAGGACGGCCCGGCAGGCAGGGATAGGCCCATACAGGATGGACTGGGACGAGATAGGTGACTAGTGGACCTCGGTCACCCCCTGGGGACCTGGAGCCGGGCAAGAACTTGCGCGTGTGTGTGGGTCCTGAGTGACTGCTGACAGTCTCCAGGAGGCTGGCCACCACATGTGTTCAGCATGGGGTCCCTGAAGCAGCCTCGGTAGGACCACTGACATCCCCACTTTGCAGATGAGAAACCAACCATGGGTGTTCCGGAACTGCCCAAGGCCGCAAAGAGCTATCAAGGGCCCAGCCTGGCTCTGTGAAGGCTCTGGGAGGGGACTGTCACTCTGCAGGCACTCGCCTGGCTGCGCAGGCCCAGGTGTCCCAGGGGCCGTGTACCTGCTGACACGGGCAGCTGGGTGTAGATGGAGTTCATGAACACCCCGCCATTGGCCTGGATCTGGATGACCTGGAGAGGGGAGGCGGGGCCACAGTCAGTGTGTGGGGAGGTGGCCGGCTCACGGACTAGGGAATGCTGACCGCAGCCACCCCATCTAGAACCTTGAGCCTCCGCGTGGCTGGGAGGGGGGTGGTCCCTGGGCCCATGGGGTTTATGGAGGGAGCTGGAGCCCACCCTCCCCATCTCTGTCCCGTCGTCCCCACCCATCACCACATCCCTGCCTCTCACCGTGTCCCCACCACTGGTCATCTTGAGCGTCACCGTCTTGAGGCAGTTCTCGTTGTCTGTCAGGCCGCATTGCCGCAGCTCGGCCAGCACGGTGAAGCCGCTGTCTGCACATGTCTGATGAGGCAAAGCCCACCAGTGTGTTGGGTGACAGCTGGCCCCCAACACGGCAGAGAGGGTCTGCATGTGTGCGTGTGTGTGTGTGTGCATGTGTGCATGTGTGTGTGTGTGTGTGCATGTGTGTGTGTGTGTGTGCATGTGTGTGTGCATGTGTGTGTGTGTGTGTGTGTGTGTGTGTGGTAGAGGTAGACGGTGGCTCGTGGTGGCCTCTGGCACCTGCGGTGAACTCCAGGCAGCTTCCTTAGGGCCTGGGGCCCCTAAGCCCCCGTGAATGTGAGCCCGGGGTTCCCTCTCAGGAAGGGAGGGGGCCACAGGGGCTTCACCCATTCTGGCGGCCATCATAGGGCCCTCTCCCGGGGCCTGCCGTCCACTGCCAGCGGGGCCCACCTTGGACAGGATGTAGCTGCAGTCTCCGTGCACGTTGTAGAGTTTCTCATCGTAGGTGGAAATGTGAGAGCCGCCCTGGACGGAGCAGGTGCCTGGGCACGGGAGGTCCTGGCACTGCCACATCCCACTGGAGCAGGTGCTGGTGGGGGGAACACCATGAGCAGAAGGGGCACCGTGAGGGGGAGGCGGACCCCACCCCCCGCACCCCCACCCCATGCAGGGCCGGCCAGGGGCCTACCAGGAGCTGCAGCTTGTGGTGAAGGAGGCCCCCGGGGCGTAGGTGCGGCCACTGTGGGTGCAGGAGCACTGCTCCAGGGGCAGGCAGCCCGCGTGGCTGACGTCGTCCAGCACCGTGCCTGGGGGAGTGTGAGCTGGTCAGCCGAGGCTGGGGCGGGTGTTGGGAACACAGTGACCAGAGGCAGCCATGGGGGTAGGGGCAAAGGCCCCGGGTGGAGACAGTCCCCATGGGCCCGGAGGACCTGCCTGGGGGGCAGAAGCAGCCGTCGACGCAGTGGTCCTCACAGAGCTGGGAGTGGTCAGGGTTGGAGCAGGTGTCCGTGCAGGGTGAGCCGCACTCCTGGTGCTGCAGGTTGAGAGGGCACGTCCGGGCTGCAGGGAATAGGCAGAGCTTGGCCCTCAGGAGGCCACCTAGACACCCGGCAGGCGGGCAGACCACCTCTGCTTCCATCTCCCGTTTGCCACCAAGGGTCCCCAACTCCACAGCCGGGCCCAGGGAGCCCCTTGTTTTGGGAGCCAGGGCCCTGCTTGTCCTGGCCTCCAGCCGTCTTGGCGAGGCAGGAGGCGAGGGGAGCACACGGTCCTGTATCTCCTGGGACGGCCCTCTCATGCCCACCCGGGGTCTGGGGTGATCTCAGCTCACTGTGCCCAGGCCGGGTCCTCCCTCTGGGCCCCCAGACACCCCCAGGCCTTGCATATCGCCCTCTTCTCTCCAGCCCATCCTCTTGCTATGGGGCCCCCTGAGTAGCTCTGCCTGCCCTGTGTCCTCAGCCAGACCCAAGGGTCACCTCCCTCACCCCCTCCCCAGGGACCCAGCATGGGTGCGGGGCACAGGGCTCGCCCCCAGTATGGCTCCTGGCCCAGGCCCTGGTGGGGGGCACTCACGGCAGAGGTCAGGGCCCCTCCAGTTCTGTGGCTGGCCCCCTGCATGGGTACACTGGCGGGAGTACTCAGCGAAGGTGGCACATGGGCAGGTAGGGCAGCGGCACAGGTCCTGGGTGCACGCAGCCACATACACGTCGGCGTCCACCAGCCCATGGCACTGGGCAAAGGCCAGGCCCAGCAGGGTGCGGCGGCAGATGCCCTCCTGGGGAGCACAGAAGCTGAGTACCCTCTGCCCTCCATGTGAGATCCTGCAGGTACCCTGGCCCTGCAGCCCTCACCCCGGCCAAGGAGCCTCTTCTTCCTCTTGAGGTTCCTTCCATTCACCCATCCGTCCATCATCTACCCATTCACCCATCCATCTGTCCATCCCTCCATCTCTCCATTCATCCCTCCCTGCCTCCATCCATCCATCCATTCCTCCATCTGTTCATCTACCCATCCATCCATCTATCCCTCCATCCATCTGTCCAGCCAGCCAGCCAGCCAGCCCTCCATCCATCTGTCCATCCCTCCCTCCCATCCATCCATCCATCCATCCATCCAGTCAACCACTATGGACTTGCCATGCTGGGTGCAGAACTCTGCTTGGCTCTGGGCAGTGACCTATGACCCTGGAGTGCCCCCCCACCCCAGGGTTCCAGGACACTCCTGCCCACGGTGTCAACACCCAGGAAAGGTACAGACTCCGCCCCTGGAGGCAGCTCAGAGCAGGGGGAGGCGGAGGCACTGGTCCACTCTCAGGCAGCCCCAGCAGGGTCAGTGCCGGCTGTTGGTGAACGTCCTCCCTCCCAACCCCCTGGCCAGCTGTGGGTGGGCCACAGCTCCACCTCCTGATTTCAGGCTCAAGGATTCTGCCGGTTTTGGGGGATCCTGGAGCCTCCAGGCCACTTCCAAAGGTGGGGTCCTCTCAGCTCATTGGAAGGGCTTTCCTGCCCTGGGCCCCCTGAGTGCCCACTCTTGGCGAGACTGTGTGTGTGGGCATGGATTTGCACATGCATATGGGCACACATGCAGCACAAGGCACACACGCTCTTACAAGTGCATCGCCCACATGCTGAGAACATGTGGCAGTGGCACACACGTGGAGGTTGGTGGGCACAGGGAGCGCCTGGAGAGTGGAGGCCGGATCCTCTGCCGCCTGGGACTAGGAGGCCCTCTCTCACCTGGACAACCGAGGTCACGCCCCCAGCAGGGTGAGTCCCCCCCCTGCTGTCCCCACACCTGGGGGAGAGGGGCTGAGGGGGAGCTCGATCCCTGAGAGGCGCTCACCTCGTCTGTGCAGTTGTCGGCTGGGGAGGGCAGGGGGTCCTGGCACTGCTCCGTGGGCCCGTCCAGCTTCTGCAGGTTCCCGAACTGTAGAGGGGTCAGCCTGGTGTCTGTGGAGAAGAGGCGCTCTGTGTGGGTGCTGAGGGGCTCTGGGGGCAGTGCGGGGCGTGGCTGCCAGGGGAACCCCTGCCCATGCCAGGACCCCTGAAACTGTGGGCATTGCTGGGTTGAGCATTGCGTCCACTCTGACTTGCTCTCTGCCCAGGGCCCGGAAGAAGCCACCCCCCATTCTGCCCCTCCCAGCCTCCCAGGGACTGTCCAGCCCTCAGCCACACCCTGACCCCGGGCGGCGCTCACTGTGGGCGTAGAACTCATTGATGGCCGGCAGCCCGTTGAAGTCCCCACATAGGCCGCACGTCTGGTTGGCATACTTGGGGTCCAGCTCCAGCTGGGGACAGGGGAGGGGCAGCTCCAGCCTCTGCCAGCCTGGCAGGACCCCGTGTCCACTGACCCCGGGGGCTGCGAGGCTCTCCCCCTGCCTGCCTGCGGGGGCTCCCCAGACAGGTGGGGAGGGGCTTGGGGGGCATCCTCACCAGGGCACTGTCCTCCCCATTCCACATGAAGGTCAGCACCAGCCGGACGTTGACTTTGACGTAGACGCTGCTCTGCTCCACCAGGAGGCCAGCACGGCTGTAGGGCAGCTCCTCCCTGGGACAGAAAGTTCTGGTCCTCCCACAGCAGGGGTGTGGGGTGGGGTCCAGGGCTGGCTGTGAACCCCGTGCCCACCCTAGTGTCCTGGCTCCTGCCAGCCCCCGACTCACTGTTGCCCATTGATGAGGATGGAGCCGTTGGAGATCTCCAGGACCAGCCCCTGGGTCTTGAGGACAACATGGGTGATGGTGGGCTTGGAGCCGGCCAGGCCACGGCGCAGCTGGATGTTGAAGTCCTCGTAGGCCGCCCCGCAGTGTGCGGAGAAGACGTAGTTGCAGAGGCCGGGGAAGCGGAAGACATAGCCGTCGAAGGTCTTGTAGTGGAAGTCGCCCCAGGTGCTGCACACCCGCCCATTGTGCGCTGGGTTCACAGCTGTGGGAAGTGCATTGTGGGGTCCCTGCTGGATGCCACCGCCCATGTCCAGCTGCCCATGGGCCACCTTCCTCGGGACGAGGCACCCGATTTGGGAAAGGGGAGCTCACCCATCCTCTATCGGACACACCTGCCTTGCTCCCCCTCAGCTCCTCTGATTCTCTCTGAGACCCCTGACAGCCTGCCCAGCACCCCAGAGTCAGCCAGCAGGAGAACTGTCCACAGGGAAGGCTCCTGCCCGGGCCCAAGGTTGTCCAGCTGCCTGGCTGCTCCACACTGTGCCAGCTTTAATCCAGATGTGTGACCCCACGGGAAACACCCCTGCCCCCGTCGGCAGTGGGTGGAGTCCACTTACGGCTCATGGTGGGAAAGACAGTGACGGGTGGGATGAAGATCATCTGCTGGGCTGCAGAGAAAGCCAGGTCACAGGGGACTCAGCCAGGCAGGGAGAGCCGGGGACACCCCTTCCTCGGACCCTCACCTCCTCACTGGCCACCCTGGGGCAGCAGGGAGCCCCACCCCAGGGCCTGACACAGCCTCTCCCCTGCTGGACGCTCCCTGTCTGTCGGAGACCTGCTCCTACCCTGGGCTTTTCCGTGCCCTGAGGGTGTGTGTGTGCATGTGTGTGAGTGTGAGTATGTTCGTGTGTGCACATGCATGCAAATGTGAGTATGTGCACACATGTGTGAATAAATGTGAGAGATTTATGTGACTGTGTTCACTATGTGTGTGTGCACATGTGTGTGAATGTGTGTACCCATGTGTGTGAGTGTGACTGTACACACATTTGTGGATATGAGAGCATGTGTACATGCATATGAGTGTGAGCATGAGAGTGCACACACAAGTGTGTGAATGTGTGTGAGCACTTTGTGGGTGTGTGGGCACATACATGTGAACATGAACATGTGCCTACACATGTGAGTGTGAACATATGCGTGCACTCGTGTGAGTGTGGGTGAGCAGGTGAGCCTCACTGCTCTGCACCTTAGTATTTTTGCCCCCCTACCCCCGCCACCTCTGCTGTGCCTTCCCTTGGGCAGATGGGATCAGGATGGTCTGTGTGACACATGGCTGATCTGGAGAGGACTCTGTCCCCACATCCCGCCTGGGGCCCCTTCCACTTGCTCCAGAAGCCCCACCGCCCAGATCCTGGACCGCGTACCAAAGGCCTCCCTCTGACCATCCATGGCAGCCTCTGCACCTGCCCAGCTCAGTTCCTCGCCGCCCTGGGTCTCTGTGGGAAGAGGGGACAGGAGTCGTGAGAAGTGGACACGTGAAGGCTCAGGCCTCCCGTCGCCCAGCATGATAGAGAGCAAGGCCCCCACTGGGATGGAAGGTTCTGGCAGAGGGCTGCAGCTGTTGAGCAGCCTTGCGCTGATGCGCAGACCACCAGCCTCCCCATCCACGAATTCAGGGTGGGGCCTCATTGCACTGTGACGGGGAAGTCGTGCAGTTGGCTCAGGGCAGGAGAGTGGAATGAGGAAAAGGTGTTGGCCCCTGACCACCACAGGGAGAGGGCTCAGCCCCATCCCATGCGTCCCTCGGAGGACAAAGACCCGCTTTGTTGGGGAGAGGGACAAACGCACCCGGGGAGGCTTCTGGGCGTGACTTAGCAGAAAACCAAGACCAGAGCCAGCTCTGCATTAGAACCATCAATCATGGCAGGTGGGAGGCCTGGGGCCCTGGTGCTGGGACAGCCGACCCAGATCACCTGTGTGTCCACCGCCTCCAGGCAGGGCCTTATCCGCCAGCCTGACCGTGGCCCGAGCCAGGCACTCCCCTCCAGTGGCCAAGCTCCCATGACCTCTCACTGCCTCGGTGGACAGGACTGAGCCCCCAGGTCCCTCTCTGCTGAGTTCGGGCTGGGGCATCCCCCATTACGTCGCCCTGGAATTCCTTCCTCATATCTGCCAGGCGTCTCCATGCTCAACCCAAGCCTACACTTTGTGGGGAGTGGGATATGGGGCCCCCAATGTCCCGATGTCCCTGGTGGGGCTGGCGCTCGACGAGGGGTGCTGGGCCCGCTCTGCAGCCGCCAAGGCAGGCTCTGCTTCCTGTTTGACTTTCCCAGCTGGGACCCGTAACACTTGGAAACCGCAGGGACTGGCCCGGCATTTCTCTCTCCTCTCCAGCCCCGGTTGACTGCATTTTCCAGAAGCACGGCCATTCCATCTGACCACTCCTGCCCCTGGACCCGCAACCCCTCCCGCCTGTGCCTGGCCAGGGCTGTCCGCTGCCAGCTGCTGGCCCCACACCACCGTCAAGAAACCAGAGGGTTTCACATGGATGCAGGGCGCACGGCACCCACTCCTCTCCATCCCGGGCCCAGTTTCCATGAGAATTGACTCAATACAGGGCCCTCCTTGGGCCAGGCGACCGGCCCAGTGAACCTGGGTCTCCATCAGTCACCCAGAGAAATGCCCGGCGCTGACCATGTCATCACACTGTGGTCTGGTGCACAACCTCCCCTGAAATGAAATCCCTCGTCTCGGGGCCCACTCTCACCCATCCCTGAGCGGGGCTCCGGGCCTGGGGACACCCGCCTGCCATGGTACACATGTCTTGTTGTGACAAGATGCACCTTCACCGAAGGATTTGTCCCCAACAAGAGGGAAGGGAGTGCAGGATGAGGTGGGCTCACAGGCAGACCCACCGCTCAAATGCATGGAGCTGAGGACAGCCCGGCCCAGAAGTGCCCAGAGGAGCCCGGATGAGCGGGCACACGGCTGTGCAAACCGGCAAACCAGCATTCCAAACTGCTCAGCAGGTGGGGAGGTCACTGCGCCAGGTGGCGTCCCACGATGTGCCCCCCCCGCCCCGGGAAGTGCTGTAGGAAAGCCCCCCTCACCTTCCAGCCCACTCGCCCCCCAAGCAAGGGGACTGGGCGGAGGGTCTGGGAGACAATCTCTCCCCTCCACTGCCTCCTGTTCACAGATGGAGAGAGCCTCTGGGGCGCCTGCCCACCCAGACCCCCAACCCCCGGTGAGGCGCCAGTGGGGGCGCCTTGCGGGAGCAGAGCGTGGGCCAGGGGAGGGCGGGGCAGGCTCTCGTGGCCAGGTCCCCTGGCCGGCTCTGCCAAATGCCACCAAGGCAGCCCCTGGGGCCGCATCTTTCATGTTGACAGTAAGTATTAGGGCTCCTGGCGCTTCCCTGCGATGCTAACTGCCTCGGGGCCTGAGGGACGACAGACGAGATGGACAGGTGGAGGCTGCCAAGAAAGGCCGGGCTGCAAGCATGGCATGATGAGCACTGGTGGGCTCGATGTGGCTCCCTGCTGCCAGGCAGGGTGCACACCTGTTCGCCCCGTGCAGCCCTATTTCCAGGAGGTATTTCCGAGCCGCCGAGGGGGCTTTCCTGTCACTCCAGGCCGGCCATGGAGGACAGGATGGAGAAGGCTCAGCCCCCATCTGGGCAGGGACCCGTGCTGGGGGCTGTCCCTGCCTCTGATATGGGGACCTCATGGCCACCTCACCCAGCGCCCACACCGTCCCATCTCCGAGGCCAAGTCCCTCTTGGTGGTTTCCCCAGGGGTGTCACGCCTTCTCCAACAAAGGCTGAGAGCCCCGGCACCGGGCGTCCCGGGGTGTGCAGGGCCCATCAGGACACACTGTCCATTCTCAACAGGAGAAACCCCTAGGCGTGTGGCCTGCAGAGACCGTCCCCACCTCGACGATGGAACCGGGGTCGGCCTTACCTGCCTTCTGCACCAAGAGCAGGGCCGCCAGGGCCCACGCCAGCGCCCGGCACCCTCTGGGGGCACCCATCCCGGGGGCTGGCATGGTGGGCGGGAGGTGAGGAGGGAGTGGGGCGAGGTGCTGGCTCCCCTGGGGGCCCTGGGGCTTAAGTAGCAGGAAGCCTTGGCCCTGTGCCTGGCTCCTGGGCCATGCAGGGCGCTGTCCTCTCCCTGGCGCCAGCCACGTGTGTTTACTCTCGGGGAGGGGCCATGGCAGGAAAGAGCCCTGAGGAGGAAGGATTTGTGGCTCTGGGCCCCAGAGATGCAGGACCCCTTCCCCCCAGCAGCTTCTGAGAATCAGAAGGGAGGAGGTACAGGCCCTTCTGCCTGAGCCAGGAGGGTGATGCTGGCGGCCCATTCTAGATGGCAAAGCCCCTACAAAGCAGGGCAGCCTCGGACCACCTGGGGTCATGCCTCGCTGCAGCCCTCTCGCTGAAGAGGGAGGGTGGTCAGCAAACCGCCTCACTCTTGGCCCCTGTGTCCAGCTCCTCCTGGGAGCCCGATTGAGGCTGAGAGGTGGGATCGAAGGGGGGAGCCGACCGTGGCTCTGGGGGAGCTGGCCAGAGGTGCTCAGCACCCGTCCCGAGGAGTGGGGAGGGGGCCATGAGGCTGCGAGGTCATTGCTGGGCCTGGCAAGCAGGGGCCCGTATGGCCGTGCGTAGTGCGGGGTGCTGGTCTACAGGGCTTATGAGGGTCTGGCGAGGAGGTTCCGTGCCCGGAGACCCCAGCTGTGCAGAGAAGTGCCCCTGCAGGTCTCTGGGCTGCTCTCTGTCACCAAGTTCAAGGGGAAACCAAGGCCCTGAGGCTGCCGTCAGCCTATCTTCTTTTCCCTCCATCACTCGCTGGGTTGCTGGCGTCCTTACTCAAAACCGGAGCATGACTGAGAACAACCTGCAGGACGCCCGGGGGGATGTGCGGGGTCGCATGGCTGTAACCAGCCCCCCGTGGGCACGGGCGGTTTCCGGGTCAGTGGGGGGATAAACAGCAGGGAGCCCCTGGGACTCCTTCTGCCTGTCTTTCGGAGGATGAATTTGTAGATGCAGAACTTCTGAGGCAAAAGGAAAACCCGTCTTAAAAGCTTTGGCACATTTTGCTGACTGTCACCCCTCAGCGTGGCCAGTGGCCCCACAGGCCACATGTGTCCAGAGACCCGCAGGGGCCCGGACCTGCTTTCTATCTTGGATCCTGGTGTCTTAGGAGCAGGGTGGCCCTGCATGGTGCTGGTGCATGTTCCCCGGCATGGAGATTCCTGCTGCGTCTGCGGCCCTGCAAACCTTGACCCTGGGCTGGGGGCAGGAGACATGGAGGTCTCAGCCGGCGGAACCACTCCCTGTGCACTTCCGGGACCCCAGGGGTGGGTGCTCAGGCCACCTGCCAGCTCCCCCCTGTCCTCGCTGTAATTTCCAAGGTTGAAGGTTCCTGAGGTTGGGTCATCGGGGTCCCCAAAGTTCTCTTTCATATCCAGCCTCCTCATCCGCAGTGCAGAAGGGGGCAGCTGGAGGGCCTCTGAAGGGGGGCTGGGCCGGGGGACCGCGAAGGATGGGCCTGGAGGGTGGGCTGGAGCCCCTGAATGGCCCTCCTGTGCTCTTGAGCTGTGACTGTGCCTGGGCCCGACAGCCCCTGCCCTTCTTGGTCTTCCTGCCATTGCTCCAGGCACAGGCTGGGCAGACAGCTGGAGCTCAAGAATGCCTTGGCACCTCGTCCTCCTGTGGGTGGGGAGTGCACGCTGCCTGGACCAGCAGCTCCTCCACCAGGAGGAAGGAATTGGGGGCATCTTTGGATCCCCCACCTGAGGCCTCTGGGGTGGCCAGACATGGGCAGCACCCTGAAGCCCTCAGAGGGCCCTGCCAGCCCCATTCGGGGCAGCCCTCACCCCTTGCACACATGAGCAGCCCTGGGCACTGAGGTCTCAGGGCTCAAATGTACATTATCTCTTCAGGGCGTCATCCACCCCTGTCCCCCATCCCCACCTTGAAGGAGACTCCCTGCGTGCAGGGGCTTTGCCCATCTGTGCACAGCTGCACGCGGCAGGCACTCAGTCAATGCAGAGTGAGTGAGGCGTGAACCCACAGCACCATGGCTCAGAGGCTGCCCGAGTCCTTCCCCTGAGCACATCCTCGGGCAGTGACGGCAGTGGGGCCGTCAGGGTCCCAGCGATTGGGACATCCCGGATGTGGCCTGGGCCCAGCCTGTTTGCTCAGCACGTTTACCTCTTCACAGATGAGGGAGCCGAGGGAAGCACTGCCGGGAAGGAGGGCTGGGCCAGCGGCCTCCTGGGGCTCGGGGAGGGCTCCACCAAGGATGGTGCCAGGAGCCTGCCCCGCAGGGACACGCCCTGTCCCTCATTCAGCCCATGGAGCCCAGAGGGCAGCCGGGACAGGGACAGCACTGGCCCACTGAAAGCCCAGAGTGGGATGTGATCCCACCTGTGGACAGAGACCCCTGACTACACGGAGCCCAGAAGCCGACTGCCCCAGCTCAGCACCTCATCCTGGTGGACACCACTCACAGGCTTGGAGAGTGCCGGGGGTCATCCAGCAAGACCAGGGAGCCCTTCTCAGCTCACGCCCCTTGTCTCCCACCACAGCAGTGGAGATTTGAGGACGAGGGTCCCGGGATGAATCAAACCCCAGGCGTTTACTGGGCGCTGGCTGTTTGCCCCGCTCCACCTCGGGCACCAGGGAGGGTCCAGGAGGATCAGGGCATGGCCCTGGGCTGGCCGGATGGTGGGACCTTCTACCCCTGCTGGCTCCTGCTCCCCAGAGGGCTGTGTCACCCTGGCAGGTGGGAAACCATGGGGGTCCTGGCAGTCCAGGTCTGTGTCCCGAGGGGCTCAGACTCTCTGTGAGCTGAGGGGCCCAGTGGTGTGCCAAGTGGGCTGTGAGCCGGACAGGCCCAGGCCTGGGTGGTCCAGGTGGGGATGGTTGTCCAGGCAGGGAAGCACTCAGGCCCCACGTGTGGGTGACAAGCCCTCTGTCCTGGGCTTTGAGATGGCTGGGCCTCATTCCTGCCCCACACACTCAGGGCTTTTCCGGTGAGACGCAGGGGACCAGCCTGGTCCAGAAGAAGCAAGTGGAGGACACATAGGGTCATCATGGTCCCCCAGTCCCCCAGCTTGTCTGACAAACATGACCAAGCTCTCCACCCCATGTTGGACATGTGGGGTGCAGAGAGGTGGCTGTGGCAGCCCCTCTGGGGAGGAGCGAAGCTGTGGGGGGACAGGCAGGCCATGCTCCACTTGGGCACCCGGTCCCCGGAGCTGTTTCCACTGTGAGGAGGGCGGTGCCCATTCCCCCAACCCTGCTCCCAGGTTCAAAAATGTGGAAACCCTCCCCCAGGATGCCTGGCCCCGTGTGAGGACCCCTGCAATGTCTCCTACTTTTTCCTCGTCTTCACACAGGTCCCTTGCCTTCCCTGTTTCCTCTCCCTCCCTCCTTCTCTCCCTCCATCCTCCTTCCCTCCTTCCTTTCTTCCTTCTAGCAAATTCTGATGAGCCCTGAGTAGTACTTCCCTGGGCAGTGGGGGTCACCATGGACAAGGAGGACAAAGTTCCTCCTCCTCCAGAGCTTACAATGCACATGACCAGTTGGGGCAGCATCGAGAGCCGTGAAGGAGCCAAAGAGAGGATGGCTCTGTGTGGGGCGGGGGCGACAGCTGAGAGGAAGGAAGGGTCAGCCACAGCCTTCTGCAAACTAGGGGAACAGCTTCATCAGAGAGGGGACAGCACGTGCAAAGACCCTGGGGCAGGGATGGACATGGCCCGTTGGAGGGTCCCTGATGTGACTGGGACTGGGGCACAGGGAGAAGGGGCTGGGGGGACAAGGTGAGATTAGGGGAGGGGCTTGGGTTTACTCTCAATTTGGGGGCATGGGGGGTGTTGGAGCATTTAAAGCAGAGAAACCATAGGGGATGACTTTTTTTTTTAATAGTGAAATGTACATAACATAAAATTTACCATTTTAATCATTTTTTAGTGTACGTCAAGTGGCATTAAGTACGTTCATGGTGTTGTGCAACCGTCGCCACCATGCATCTCTGTGACTTTTTTATCATTTCAGAGACTCTGTCCCCATTAAACCCTAACTCCCCACACCCCTCCCCCAGCTCCCGTCTATGAATTGGACTATTCTAGGGATCTCATATGAATGGGATCTTATGTGTTTATCCATCTGTGTGTGGCTTTTTCACTGAGCACTGTCCTCATGAAAATCCATGTGGTAGCATGTGTCAGGATTTCCTTCCTTTTCAAGGCTGAATAACACTCCATTGTGTGGATGAACCACAACTTGTTTATCCAGTCATCCGTTGACAGACATTTGGGCTGTTTTCATCTCCTGGCTGTCGTGAATAGTTCTGCTGTGGACATGGGTGGACAAATACCTGTTTGAGTCCCCGCTTTCACTTCCTTTGGGTGTATACCTAGGAGCCGAATGACTGGATCATATCGTAGTTCTATGTTCAACTTTTTGAGGAGCCACCAAACCATTTCCCACAATTACTGCAGCATTTTACCTTCCCACCAACAGTGCACGAAGGTGGGCTTCTGGGGAAGACCCTCGTCTGGGTTGCAGTCTGCGACTTCCTGCAAAGTTGGCGGTGCACGGGATCTCTCAGGAGCCTTTTCTGTAAGGGGCTCATCCCATTCTCGAGGGATCCACTCTCATCACATAAGCACCTCCCAAAGGCCCCACCTCCTAATACCGTCACCTGTGGGGGTTAGGGTTTTAACATATGGATTTGGAGGGACATATTCAGATCATATCAAGCCTAAACAGTTTTTTGGTGGAATTTTTAGAGTTTTCTACATACACGATCACGTCATCTGTGACCAGGGACAGTTTTCCTTCTTTTCCAATCTGAATGCTTTTTATATCTTTTTCCTTTCTAACTGCCCTGGCTAGAACTTCCAGGACTGTGTGGAAGACAAGTGGTGAACGAGGGCATCGTTGCCTTGTTCCCGATCATAGAGGAAAAGCTTTCATCTCCCACCGGTGAGTATGATGTTAGCTGTGGGCTTGTCGAATATGGCCTCTATTAGGTTGAGATAGTTTCCTTCTACTCCTAGTTTGTTGAGTGTGTTTTTTTTTTTTATC